AAGGGTAGCGTTGTACGCCAATTACCATTTTTCTCTTTTATTAGTGTAGACTAGAGGCCCAGTACACAAATTCATGCACCGGTGGGGTCCCTCAGCCTGGCCTGCAGGGATCGAGCCGAAACCAGCTCTCCGACATCCCCCATCTGAATTACTATTACAAATCTCAGGACTATATATACAAATGAATTTACTATTAGAAATAATGATAAGGTAATACTGATGTTTGTTTTTCCATTTTCAATTTAAATGATATTTTAAACACTGGAAGGCTGAACAAAGGGATGTAAATAGAAGACAGATGATAATCTAAAAAACTGATTTTACACATATTACACATACGTTAACTGATGTTAACCTTCCAAAGGAAAAACAATCTGGCTGAGAAGTAAAAAAAAAAAAAGACACAGGATATTTTATTTTGGATATTTTCAAGTTGAAGTTAAGTAATAAATATTGCCAAGTGTTACTGTTAGAGTTTAGATAAAAACATAATATTATGAAGGAACTAAAAATAAATTGCTTTTTACTCTTACCACAAATTAAACATTAATGAAATGCCTTTAGAACTTAGCGACCAAAAAGTTTAAAAAATGTATTCTGGTAAAAATCTTAAATGACATATTTTTTTAAAACTCTCAAGAGAAAGCAAAAATATATCCTGGCATATTTTTATACAATTACAACTATTCTATTTAAGATGTCATTATTTAGCTATAACAAAACTTAGTTTTTCCTGCTCTTTTATGAATGACTCCTATGAAATAATATTTACTGAAAAATCACAGTAGTATAAAATAAAGAGGCTATTGTAAAATCATGCTCAATACTTTGGTGTTGCTTCTATGACAAGGACAATGATGGCAACAACAAATCCTCACGCTCCTCAAACAAATAAAAACATTTTCTATTCTGGCCTTCTTCCAATAAAATGCTTTTAACGTTTAACATATCAAACGCCAATTAATTGTAGAGAAGTCCGTGAAAGTCTACATAAATGTAGAACAAGAGTATATTTTTCCTTAAGGCTAGAATAGAAAACCTTAAGTTGGTGATTCCAACATACTTCTCTCAATAATGAATAAAACATGAAGAAAATCAGTAAATATATAAATCACCTGAACAACATCATCACTCAATTTGACCTAAGACACTTATAGGACACTGATCCCAATAGAATACATATTGTTTTCAAGTGCACATAAAATAGTCACCAAGATAACAAATAATCAAGTTAAATTAATAAGAACCACAAAAAGTATGCTCATGTATCATAAACAGTAACAAAGATATATCGGGAAAAATCAACCAAAGATCTTGTATGCATATATGCATACATAACCCATGGAAGCAGACAGTGGGGTGGTAAGGGCCTGGGGCGGGGAGTGGAGGGGGTTGATGAGGGAAAAAAGGGGATATATGTAATATTTTTAAAAATAAAAATTTAAAAACAGATATACCTGGAAAATCCCCTATTTACTCAGAGATTAAAGAATATAGTTCTAATTAAACCATCATTTAAAGATAAAATTTCAGGGGAAATTCAAAACATTTTGAACTATAAAATGAAAATATATCAAATATATGAGATGTAGGTAAAGTGGTACTTAGATGGGAACTTATAGCATTAAATGCTTACATTAGAAAACAAGGTATAAAATCAGTAATTTAAGCTTCCATATTTAGAAATTAGAAAAAGAGCAAAGTACAAATGCAAGAAAAAACAAATAATATAGAGTAGAGCAAAAGTCAATGAAAGCAAAAACAGAAAAATAATGTAGAAAATCAATCAACCCAAAATCTGTTTTCAGGTAGAAATTCTCTTAATTGTAGGCATTAGCAAAATGAGCGGAAATATAAAAAGGCAAATAGTAAAGAAGAAGCAGGAGTTGCAAATCCAAGAAGCAGAACAACTGGATAAAAGTCCTAACTGTACAGCATAACAGTGGTATAACCTTAATCATCTAACTTCATTTTCTCAGTTATTCTCATTTGTAAAAGGGAGTTAAAAAAAAAATCATTCACAGGGTGAATGGCAGGGGTTAAGGGAAATATTCATGGAAATTATTTGGAAAGAATAAAAATAATAATTGTTTGAATTAGTAAGATTGACAAACTGTTATCTAACACATAAATATCATATTAAGTTATGTCAACATTTAACATATCTAACATCAATTAACTGTAGAGAAGTCAGTGCCTTTAAGAATCTTGAAGGTGTGATAACACAGCAAAGGAAATTCATAAATTACTATAAAATATTTTTTGGGGCACTGACAGATTTGGTTCAGTGGATAGAGTGACGGCCTGTGGACTGAAAGGGTCCCAGGTTTGATTCCGGTCAAGGGCATGTACCTTGGTTGCTGGCACATCCCTTGTAGGAGGTGTGCAGGAGGCAGCTGATCAATGTTTCTCTCTTATCAATGCTTCTAACTCTCTATCCTTTCCCTTCCTCTCTGTAAAATATCAATAAAATATATTTTTTAAAAATATTTTTTTGGTGGCAATATTGAAGGTCAAGTGGGGAAAATTCATTATATACTAATAATACCTGGCTTCTTCATAAGTTTTCTCATTAAGGAAAAAAGTAAAAAATATAAATAAGGAACTTTCAAAAAAAAAATACAACCCACTGCAGATATACCTTTTTGCAGATTTTTTCAAAATTGATATCATCACCAAGAGCAGATTTAGTTACTATATCAGGTTTCAACTCCTGTAAAAAAATAAAACAAAATAATTTTAGTTATGAGTCTAATTTTAAACTCATTATTATTATGAGATAAACTTCTTCCTCTGTTCTGCTCTTAAGAAATCTAATGTTAAATGAATTTTCAACTTTTAGAGGATAACAATTTCTATCACACAGTAAGAAATGACCATGCTAAGAAAAAAGTCACAGCAAAATGAATTTAAAAGCTAATCACCCCACAACAGTTATATTCTATGAAAGCTAGAACATTCAATGTGCTATTAAATTCCAGGATAAAAACATTTCCTTAGTAAAAATAAGATTAAAGTAATTCAAAATGTTAATTTAAGAATTATTACATTTACAGAAATTTTTACTTATTTTAATGACATTGGCAATTTCATCAGTTTATAGAGACTGATGTTCCAAGTGACTGATACCCCAGTAAATACCTGAAACCGTGCATAGTGCCAAATCCTATAGACATACTATGTTTTTTCCTATACATACACTAGAGGCCTGGTGTACAAATTCGTGCATCGGTGGGGTCCCTTGGCCTGGACAGAGATTGGAGCCAATTGGGGCTGTCTTGCCCAGTCCCAATTGGGGTCAATCAGGGCCAGCTGGCTGGGGGGAGGTACCACGGGAGGTTGGCTGTGGGAGTGCACTGAGCATCTGTACCCTGATGGTCAGTGTGCATCAGAGTGGCCAGTCTACCGATCATTAGGTCTACTGGTCATAACAGTCACTTAAGCATATATATATATATGTATGTATGTATGTATGTATATAAATATATACTAGAGTCCCGGTGCATAAAAATTTGTGCACTCGGGGGAGGGGAGAGGGGGTCCCTCAGCCTGGCCTGTGCCCTCTCCAGTCTGGGACCCCTCGGGGT